TTGCAGATCGTGTGACGTCACACCATGATGACGTACAGATCAGGTTATGTCATCTCCACAACAGATGTGTGGCCACAAACTCAACCAGCAGAGGGTTGTTCAGAGGTAGGTTGTCAGCACAGACAATCAAGGATCGACTGCACACTGTGTGATCATCGATGGGTCCGCAGACTTGACAGATTCAATCAGATGCGGAGAACGTCACGCAGTGTATTCTATTTTACCAATAGCAACGGCCTCCGGTAAGAATGCAGATATTCCTGTCCATAAGGATACGCTGTGTTGCCGTCCCGGACGCTCGAAAAGGTCACACTCAGTCTCAAGCTTTTACTTTGATTGTGAATGTAATGTTTTACTGATGTTGTTCAGTAAATCCCGTTAGATATTGTTACAGTACACATGCTTTGATCACGCTATGATCACAAGTAAACTATGGTCTTTGGTCTTCAGTAACACATGGATGAGCCAGAAATGTATTGCAACCGAGTTTGAATGAAACCGTTATTGATATGTAGGTCATTCGGCTCATAGAACATAATCAGTGAAAAGGTTTCACATAAATAGGAGTGAGTGAGTTTGGTCATACGCCGCTTTTAGCAGTATTCCAGCAACATTACGGCGGGGAACACCAGAAATGGGCTTCACACAATGTACCCATGTGGGGATTCGAACCCGGGTCCTCGGCGTGACGAGCCAACGCTATAACCACTAGGCTACCCCACCGCCCCACAGAAATAGGAGAATGTATGAGCGGTTAGCACTCCGATTAATCTTGTCAACGACTGTTAGCTGAAATTGTTGCAAGTTCCGTCCACTTGACAGCGAATGTTTCCACACGCAATACAACAGCAAATGGTTGTGACTTCTGTGACGCACCAGGGGATTGGTTATAAATAAAACATGTCTTAATTGCCATTGTGATGTACTCAAATTACGAAAATACAAAGAAGTTAGTTTTAATACTCCAGCTTTCATATATATATGAAATTTATATATATGTTGAATTTAAATATCACACTATGATAAATGATTTCTTAAACAAACATAACATAAACCTCACAGCCACTATTTTTCACATGTACAACAATGTGACACACTCAGAGAGAAACTCCACTGCTATGACCGAAACTACGAACGTAGTTAGGTGGAGAAGGCGAGATACCCCATTCTTTTAGTAATTATGTTCCTATTCACACTTTCAAATAAGCGGTGGGATCTCGATTTAACTGTACCTGCAATACCTTGGATCTGATACAAATATTGATTCCTTATTTGTGGAGAGTCTTTGTACATACGCAGTAGTGTGTCAAGGCTACAACCAAATATGTGCCTGGTTGCATATGTCAGCTTGTAATAATTAAACCTTTGATTTCTCTCATTACATATAACCATGTGATGATCCCGAAACCTTATTGATTAAATCGCGTTTCCTGCTGTTCGTTGACATATCAAGCATAGCAATGGAAGCCTTCTATTTTGAATCCCCACAGACACAGCGCATTGTAGCACATTAGATTGTAACATAGATTCAACATTACACAGTTAGCGAACGAGTTTTTACGATGGCCATTTGCTAATATCACATACCTGCACATCCAGGTCACAAACATGCATGCAAATTTGGTACAATGAGCATGGAGATATTTTAAACAAGATTGTGTATGACAAGTTACAGTTGAAAAAAAGAGTACATAGGATCAGAAGTATGGATTATTTGAATGTTCCAAGTGACGTATCAGGTACGGTTTCCACGACTTACACCCGATTTGCTGTGACATCGCGATCGCAGTACTTACAGCAGGTGTTGATTATCTGACACTGACATTAGTCTATTTGAGTTTCAGTTACCTCATATTTTGTTGATAAATAAGAAGCAGAGTTGGAAGAGTTGCCAGTAGCATCTCTGATAAACAGGCCACGAGGGTAAGTCTTTGAAGTTTAATGACACTTTGTCATTGTTAGTGAACTGACCTTAGTATCCAAACTGTTGACCACAAATTACTGACTGACAGCATTCCAGTGTATGTAACATGTCGTTACTAACTATTGCTGATCATGTATACTTGAGTACTTTATCGACTAGTATCAAATTGAAAAAGCCAATCATTTTAGTGAATGCATTTGTTCATGCATATTCAACGATTTGGCTTGCTTTGCGAGGAGATCGTCGGCAAGAGCGTGTTGCAAATTAAAGCCGAGTCGCCCGCCACCTGTGGACGTGAATGTGACAGTACGCATTCTTATATCTGAAGGCTGGAGACAGCGGCGGATTAACTCCACATCTCTCCATCGTGAGGACTTTGCGCCACATCCCAGCTCGTGAGTAGTACTCTCAAACGGTTTTAAGGGGTTATATGAAACGGCTTAACTATTGCTCGGTGTCTGAATACCATCATTGCTAAAACGGTGGGATACTTTGCTACGAAAAGACTTAACAAATCTGACAAAAGAATTGAGAAAAGGAACTAATATAGCGATGCTTTGTTGTTCTGTTCTGTGAGGATGAGGTGGGTGTGAAGGCATGGGTTGAGGATGGAGGTGTATTGCACCTGCATTTGCATCTTTGGCACTTCTACTTGTCGCTGATATTGCTCATGGGAGTAAGGCTTGTTGTTCACACTGTTCAGCGTTAATATGAAAGAGTGAGCAAATAGGAATAGAAACAGTCATAGTATGTCAACAGCTGGTGTTTGTTCGTGCAGCAAAATAACTAAACACATTGAGTTGTAATTATTTACCCGTGCTGATGCTCATGGTTTTGCTTAAAGAGACAGACAAGACTGTATTATCTCCTGTCTATTCTCTTCTAGAATAGATCAATAATACATGTTTCTTCAGTCGTTGTGTGATCTGTATCTATTGTCTATTGAAGTAATCATCTTACAGCCATGTGTATGGTGAGGGCGGAATAACCATATTAGAAGGTAATCTTAGTTCCATTTTCTGTTACGAAAAAGGGCTGTTTATAATTTAACCTCATTTCAAGAGTTGTTGGTAGATCTCAGTGTTATGCCCTGTCCCCGATGCACTGCCTGATGTGAATGATTCATCAAGTGGTCCTGGGATAACGCTCTAGACGCGGCAGTTAGGGTCTTGATTAACGATTACTCTGTTTACGGCCACTGGGAATATCAGGTTAACCGTCATGACAACCTCCGTTTTCAGTTACCGCCGAGCTGAAACACATACGTACAATACTATTCATGTCGCTTGACATTAAAAGCACAGTCTGTCAACTTCACTTGGTTGGTCGTTATGTTCTCTCATCATCATTTCGTATCCTCGTCTCTGCATCCGCATTTAGAAATAGAGGTATATTAAACCGCTCTGTATCCGAACATTGCAGGTGTTCAGTCATTTACCGCAGATGTTTCCTCAAGCACATATAAATGCACTAAGAATGGTGATATTTTGCAGAACGTTACTACGAACGAATGGTCTAATGGTCTAATACAACACATTACTGGTACGAAAAACGTATTTCGTTGCCTAAGGTCCGCTTCGTACATTATTAACTGTGTCAGCTGATTGATTATTGGTTCTTTGTTCTGTGATAGGTTTTATCCCTTGTGACCATGTTTTGCAGTTATTGTTTAAATGTTGGTCCTTGGTCAGATTAAATCCATAAGTCAATGCAAATCGAAATCTAACAGAACTTATTTTAACGGGAACTTAGCTCAAAGAGACTTTCTCATGAAGTGCATTTTGCTGAAGTACACTTCCGTATTCTGAAACCCTGGGTACCCCGTCAGTAAGTAGATTGTGTCTGACCATACATCAGGAGGCAGTTTAGGGAACACTAAGCTGCCACACTAACGGTAGCGTTAATACACGCTAAATCTAAGTTTGTATACAGAAATATGAGTTTCTTAAATGAGAAAGAAATTCTCTGAACGAACTCGAGATGATTCACGAAACGTTGTTGTCCAAACTGAACACATTATTCATTGAATGATGTTTATATTTTCCCTTTGAGAAAACTTAAAAATTAATGGAAAAGAAATATGTTGATACGACAGATTGTAAATTAGCAAAGGCTTCGGTAACCTGTTACGAGGTGACTTCCAAGCTAAAAAACAGAGGTTGTCACAGGATCAATGAATAATTTCAAATCATATTGTTGCACTTGTTTATGGTTTTCAGTCACAGAAAAGGCAATAAAATGGGTCAAATATGTGATAACACCATATGGCAGTGCACTCATGAAAGCCAAGATTTGAGTCACTGTCAAAAGTCTTGAAGATGGTTTCGGACAGGTACCCTGTGCACAATTGTAAAGTAGATACGTCATGTCGCAAAAGGCTTTGAATTGCCATCGCATACAGTCTTATAAGCAGATCCCCCCCTTCCTGAAACTGTCACATTTCGAAATAATTCGCAGATAACAGATTAAATTGTTATCTGCAGTTTATAACAACAAAGCCGCGAAGATCCGGGTTATATAATTGATCTTCAGTAACCCATGCTTATCGTAAAAGGCGAATAACGGGATCGGGTGGTCAGGCTTGCTGACATGGATGACAAATGTAGTGTAGATCGATGCTCATGTTGTTTCTCACTGGATTGTCTGGTCCAGATGCGATCATTTACAGACCGCCGCCATATAGCCGGAATATTTCTGAGAGCATTTTTCTGAGAGCGGTGTAAAACTCGCTCGCTCCCTCACTCACTCACTCACAGCTGAGGTAACTCAGAATTACTTTGTCCTACAGTCTGGCCATTACAGCCCTAGACATTTTACGAAAAACAGTTGCTTTCAGTATATTTGTAATGTGTTTATTTCCAATACTTTTCCATTTGAAACAGGCTTCGAGTACATGCTTCTAGCACTTAACCCTCAGCCTGCATAACACCTCACTCAACACCTGACGGAATGATAATTCTTCACATCTGTACAAGCGTGCATGTGTGCAAATCGTATGCAACCATTGACATGGTAAACAGTTCATATGGGCACATGGCATTTTGCTTGATCGTTCACCCGATTTGTAACATCCGGTCAGGATCGTGTAACCCGCATGTATGTTTCTTTGCCCATGCATATGCAGTGCATGCAGATTTCTCGTTTACATCACGATCGATTGCAGCTGAGAAATTTCTTATGACTCCCATTTCCCGAGAAAGCTCTTGAATGATGTGTCCAGAATTGACGGCTCTTTTACTCAATTCTTTAATGGGGATGTGCGGCGTCCATACTAATGCGCACAACCCATACGACACTTCATCGGGGCCGATGAATTTCAGGCAAACGTGAAAATATGTTATAGCCAAATCGTGACAACCATCTGCCCCTTCCAGCGGAATTAGGCCTCAGTGTTAGAGAATGGTAACGATCGACTTGCTGATCGATCACAGCTTGAAATTTCGACTGATGGATTTTCTTTCACATTCGTTGATTCGCTCACCGGGAGAAGGTGCTAAGACAGTGATGCTTCAATCCTTTGTCTCTCTTCCCATCCCACAGTGACACCTCACCTACCTGGAGCTCAAAGTAAGTACATCTCGTGTGTATCGTAAATGCTCATTCAGCGTAATGTTAGACAGTGTGTAGCCTTCGCCACAAACCAATGCACATTTTGCAGACACATCTTGACGACGAGATCGATAATGTTGCCAGCAGTCAAGTCATAATGCCCAGGAAATCTACAGTCGAACTCGGCCAAGTACATGAAATAATGATCGCCTTGAAAATTATAAGATAGAATAGATTAGTTCTTATTTGGTGATAATTTAAGAATTTCAAATATATTTGAACGTATAACTTTAAAACTGGACAAGATCAAATGGGAAACGTGAAAAAACATCAAGGAGACACTTATGTAACAAATTAACACTACACTGATAATAATACTTATAATAACGATGATGATGATGATGGTGGTGGTGGTCATATACTCTTAGAAAAAGTAAGGGATCATGAGATATCAATGTTAATAGTAAGATAGGTAGACGGTAAGCATCTTCCTATGCAAAAACGTTCATGTTTATGAAACGTAACACCAAAACACAACTTATAGTAGCACCACACTTCAGCGTCGGGTATCATTCCTGATGTAGACACTTTGAAGGAAGGTCAATTAATCTCTGTGGACCATTGTGATTTCCTTGATTATATTCATTTTTGTGTTTGAGTTGGCGATGTGTACGGGCTATTGTGTAGTGACAGGAGTTACTGTAGCATGCGTCAGTGGTACACAGTCTCCGATAAGCTGACTATAGAACAAGTACCAACAAACCCAAACTTGTAGCGATCGATCCGATTCACTTTGCAACTCAGTGATAGGCGCGGTCGTTCAGTAGTACTGAACCTCATAACATACTTGTAAGGGGCTACGCTATGGTCTGAAGTGGCATCACTTTCACTGGGCAAAACACTCAATATTTAGCCAAAAAAGGGGTTCACTGGAGTGTACTACTTTATCATTTGCAAGGCATGCAGGTGTCGATGTACGGTAGTTAAGCTCACCTCCAGCAGCTCAGATAATGCCATGGCCAGAAGTGATCCCAGTCCTGCCCCATACGCAGTATGCATACAAGCAGCCACACATACAAACGCATGCTCGTCGTCAAATGAGCGAAAAATTCTCAGGTACGTCGTTAAACCACATTTCACCTCACCTTTGCACAAACGAACATCATATTTTAAATGATATGATGACATAGCTCGTTATTTCTTTTACCGTCTTCGCAGTGCCTGTGGCTTTGAACTCGAGCTCAACTCACAGGTATGCCCAATGCGTCATGGAAAATGATGCTTTTAAACGGCTTTGGAATTGTTTCGAGGAATTCAATATACAGTCCTCGACATATTCCTCCCAACAAATCTTATCTTTGATGAACTTGTTTATGATATTGAATTTTCTATCACTATTGACAGCAATGGGATAGCAAGATTCAGGAAAAGCTTGATAAATATGAGGACCTTACCTTTGTAGTGTCTCGCTTGCATCCCAAGTACACTGTCGTCAGGCTCACCATTGTTCTCGGTGCCCTTGGTTTGGTACCACCTGATCTCCTCAAGCAGATCTGTAGTGTGGTTCTCCACCTGAAGCACAGACCTCCTGACACTCTGGACAACCAAACCTGTCTCTGCTGCATTTTATCTTCACCTGTAAAGCTTAATAATAATACATAAAGATTAATATTCACCTCCCCTCATGGATGACTTGTCAATCGAGAATCTACACTGAAAACTGTCAAATCCTTTTCCAATGACATCGGTATGGCCTTTGTGTTGTACAAATGGAACAAGATAGAAGGAGAATCATTTAATTTCCTTGGTGGAAGAGTTGTTGACCCACTCATGGAAGGTCAGACCTATACGTACCTTGGGATGCAGGCTAGAGACAAATTCCAGAATGCCTGAAGGAAGCCTACCATCCTCGTTCTTTCGTCTCTCGTTTACGTTTATCAATTCAAATGGTTTGACAAACGTGGAGGGTCTTCTTGACAGAATTTTATTGTGCACTTTTACACAATATATATGTCTGATGTCCTACTTGTGAATCATGATGAAAACAAGGCCTTAAAGGGGTTGATTTTTGTTGACCGTTCCGTGCTGCTGGATGGTACAGAAATGAGCGCCACAAAAAAACAAATAAAATCGTTACAGTATGTCAAGGTAGTGGGGAGAATGGGTCTCAGAGTGCGGAATGTCTAAGAGAATAGCAACCTGCTGAGTCCTTTTCTTTGATGAAGTCGGTTGGCCTGAAACGTGAAACCGAAGGCTTTATCGTTGCTGCTCAGAGCGAGTCTCTTCGCCGTGAATTGCTGTTGTGCGACAAATTCTTGATGTAAAATGTAGATAATTTCATGCAATAAAATGAGACTGACCGACTTGTCAGTGAATGTCCAGCGTTGGCACAAACACTGTTACTGTATCTTAACTGATTGCCTTGTTCGGTCATTTTTATTACCATCTTCGTCATGCATATGGTTTTGACTCCGAGATCCGTCCATGACACGAACAGAATGTCATGGAACCTGACCTTATACTTTTAGATTAAATGAATGAAAGTATTTATATTGTTGAATTTTCTGTCCCTTTGGCAGTAATGTGATGAACAGGATTCAGAAAAAGCATGGCAAATATGCTGAACACACAGGAGAGTGCCCGGGAGCACAACTCTTCTGATACGCTGCATAAAGCAGATGGCTTCAGTGTTGGGGAGTCTCCATATTCTTCGGAAGGTTCTTGGTAGGTTCGACCAGGCAGCGCTTCCGGGAGAATTCACTTTTGCTGTCTGGACTGCGGGTAGAGGGTTTAACGGTATCTCTTAACACACAGATACATCTCTGCAGAGAAAGGAAGGATATCGCTCTCTAGGGGGCCATTGAAAGTTATAAAGACACACAAAAGGAAACCATGAACTGCGCAGTATTGATGCCGACGTCTGGGAAGAGGACACAGGACAGTGATTTGGCGGCGTATGAGGCAAAGGAGGGTAAAGGAGCAGAAGCATGAACACCAGCAGCGGAAGTGCTGTCCGTTCCCAGTTTGACTTAGCCCAGGCTGCCCCCACTGCAACATACATTTCAAAGTGAAGACTCTCAGTTCACGCAATCTGGAAACTGGAGGACGAAAAACAATTTCATGTCACAACTTGTTGTTCTATAGAGGTGAGGAGAAATTCGGTTTTACGTCGTGCTTGAGAACATTTCGCTCATGTGACGACGTGCATGCGTGTGTATGTGTATGTGCGGCTGCTTGTACTAGCCCAGACTGAAGCTGGTTTTATAGTGCTAGCCCACTGAGATACCATGCCGCAGCGAGGCATGAATACCCCACTCAGACACATTATACTGACTCCGAGCCGACCAGTCCTTGTTGTACCCATTAATGCCGAGCGTCAGGCACGGACCAACAAGTACCATATTTTAACGTCTTTTGGTATGACGCGGTCGGGGATTGAACCCGCGACCTTCCGCTCTCCGGGCGGACGCTCTAAACACTACACCACGGAGGCGGTCTGTTCTATAGAGAGTGACACGACAGCTACCGCATGTGACATATATTCTTCGTAGAGACGCACACTTTGCTACGCCATGTCACACTAATATTTGTTTTACGTGGAAAGACATCACACTATAGCCACATGTCACACTTGTGAGGAGAATCAAACTAGAGGTACTACTTAACAGATATTCAGGAAGCGAGTTCTAATATGTCACACTGATAGTTGCTTTTATGAAGAATACCCCTTTGGCTGCATGTCACACTGCCGGTTATGTGTGGGGAACTGTTATTTTGAGATCTTATTTTGTCCTGCTGATGCTCTTTAGGCGGTGATTCACACTTTAGCTATAGTTTGTTACAATGGTGCGTTTTCTGTAAGCTCCAACGTGTCATCTTGATGTTCGTTATGCCGAGTATCTCACTGCAGCTATGAAATGTCACATGGAAGCTCATTAGGTGAAGTATCATAGCTTCGAGTGTCACACTCATCCTCACTTTGTACGACACGTAGCATTGTTGTTCCTAATGCCGAGAATCACACCACAGCTACGACATGTAACGTTTTTGTTCCATATGTCGGAATCACACAATAGCTACGACATGTAACGTTTTTGTTCCTTATGTCGGAATCACACCATAGCTACGACATGTAACGTTTTTGTTCCTTATGTCGGGAATCACACCATAGCTACGACATGTAACATTTTTGTTCCTTATGTCGTGAATCACAACATAGCTACGACATGTAACGTTTTTGTTCCTTATGTCGGGGATCACACCATAGCTACGACATGTAACGTTTTTGTTCCTTATGTCGGGAATCACAACATAGCTACGACATGTAACGTTTTTGTTCCTTATGTCGGGAATCACACCATAGCTACGACATGTAACGTTTTTGTTCCTTATGTCGGAATCACACCACAGCTACGACATGTAACGTTTTTGTTCCTTATGTCGGAATCACACCACAGCTACGACATGTAACGTTTTTGTTCCTTATGTCGGGAATCACCATAGCTACTACATACTTATTGCGATAACTACAATTATGTGTAAAACATACTTATTATGAGGAGAATGGCATTATGGCTGCAATATATCACACAGATGATAGTTATGTAGCGAATCAGAGTTTAGCTCCAACAGTCATGCTAGTGTTACATGTGATGACGTACACTATAGCTGGGGCATGTCCGACTGATCTTTGCAATGTGGACGATCACACTAGAGGCACATGACACAATGAAGCGTACGATGTTGAGCTGCACATTGTGGTACGACATGTCACAGTGAAGGTGGAAAATGGCATGTCAAACGGACGCTTCTGTGGAGGATCACACGATAACTACAGCATGTCACACATGTTGTTAAATTTAGCCTCTCATCAGCAGTATTTCATTTAGAAGTGACTATACATGTACACAAGTCCTTCATGTGGAAACGAGTTTGTCGTGCTTCTTTTAACATATACATTTATTGTTAACAAATAATAAATACATGGCTATAAAGCATCAGCAAGCAAAGAAGAGCCT